AAGCAACCACTTACTGGTTTCCGTACAGTGTGACACAAAACTCAGAATCAGTGACGAACAGTGTAATAATCATAAATGTACAGCAAGCACCCACAATTCCTAACAGGTCCCCACACTGCAGAGCCAGGCAGAGCACAGTATATCACAATGCATGTCTGTGGCTCACTGTTAAAGTACTCTTTCAAAGCCACCCTGAGCCATATAGCTCCATTTGAGCTCTTGTAATCACCCTTGTGCCTGACTGTTCAAACTCAGCAGACTCTACCTCTTCCCTCCACCCCAAAGGCAACTTCCCCCCTTGGCATCACAGATATTATGAAAGACACAGCGGGCAGCTGTAACCACTAGGATATTTTTTTCACTGAAATCCAATCTTGTGAGTTAGCATTGCCAGCATCCATTCAATCTACCGAAAGCATACTCAACTGTCATTTTGCATTTGCTGAGTCAGTAGCTGAATCTTTCCTTGGTGCTGTCAAGATGGCTGGTGTATGGCTTCATGTCCAGAGGAGCAAGGTATAGGCTGGGTCCCCCAGGATCACTATTGGCATTTCAATATTGCTACTGGTAATCAGCCAGTGCTAAAAGAAAGTCCCTGCTTGTAGATTTATGAACAATCTTATGTTCTTAAAGATATGAGAATCATGCTCTTTCCTGACCAGCCAACACTGACGTTGGTGAAACGTCCCCAGTGATCCAGCAATACTTGCATAACCAGAAAAAAGTAGTCCTTTCAGTTGAGTGGCAAGGTGGTCTGGTGCCAAAATAGGGATATATGTGCTCTCTATTGCCCCACTGCAGTTCAGGACCCCCATTGCTGTAAATCCATGCACTATGTCCTGCACATTGCTGAGAGTCACAATCCTGCATAGCAAGAAGTAATGAATGGCCCTGCACACTTGCATGACAATTGCCCCGACAGTCAATTTTCTAACTCCAAAATGATTACCCACTGACTGGTGTTTGTGACTGCCGCTTGCTTCTTCGCTCTCAGTGTGGCACTCATTCTGGTGTCCCTGCGCTGGAGGGCTGGAGCAAGCTCAGCCCACAGATCCAGAAACGTGGCCTGGCACATCCGAAAGCTCTGCAGCCACTGCTCATCATCAGCCCGAATTACGATGCGATCCCACCAGTCAGTGCTTGTTTCTTGGGCCCAGAAGCAGTGCTCCACCATCTGCAGCTGCTCCATAAATGCCACCAAAACACTTGAACTGATTCTTGCTATGTCCCACAGCAATCTGTCCTCCATAAAATTGTGATGTTCCCTGCTGATTCAGTTCTTCTTGCGGCTCTGCAAATACTGGAGGATCGGCATCTGTTCTGTGATTGCAATGCTTACGACAATAGTGCAGAGATGTGCAGATTCCATACTTCTGTCAGAGATGGTGGACAGTGAGGAGGGCTGTGCTGATTCATGGGATTTTTTAAAAAGCTGTGAAAATTATGGGCTATGCGTGACATTATGGGATGGAGAAAATTGCACACTGGAAAGTTGACCCCTTGCTACCTGTTACCCCTCATGACTCATTTTTTCCCCACCATTCATTGCCAAAACTTCCCAAAAGACAGTGCACGGGATGGTGGCGGGTTGCACACTGGGATACCTAGCTATGGTACACTGCACTGTGCATTGACACAATATGCTTACAAGGTTGCTTATTTCCTACAGAAATCTTTTCCTTATTTCCCTTCTCTGGGCCTCCCTCTAGGACACATCTCTCTATGCTCACTAGAGCAGGATCCGGCCTTTGTTCAGCTGCAAAGGGCTTGCAGCTAACAGCTGAAACAGTTCTGTCAGTGACAGGCACTCCACCCCCACTCTCTCCTTTCCTGATGAGGTGCTGCCTTCAGCTGCAGTGCAGGAGACAGTCTCAACTCCATCCACACTTGGAACCATGCTGCTTCCCTTTGCTGCAGAGGAATCAAAGAGAATTGCTCCCTTTCCTCCAGCACTTCCTGGGACTTTACTCTTTTCCTCTGGGGTCCCACCATAATATTCCTTCTTGAGAAACTACATGGAAAAAATCATTCCCAATAAGCATGTCAATGGGGATATTTTCATTCTCAACTGATACTCATAGTCTCTCTCTTTTTCTGCTACCTGCAGTCTGTACAGCTCTAACTTTGCAACTGCATCGCTCTCATCCATTTTTATGCCTTTCTGCTCCTATTTCCCTTTCCCAAAATAAGAAACAGAAAATAACAAAAGTGTAACTTTTTTTTTTTTTTTACTGTATTCAGCCAACCCACTTAAAATCTCGGCACCAGTGTATGAAGTGCAAATTTCATTCAGAACAACAAGCTGTGCATTTCAGTCTGCTTGCTGCACCACTGTGACATGTCCCCGGGGTACAATCTAGACTGTGAAACCACTGTGTCCCCTTAAATTCCCCAGCCTGGGCTGACTCTCAATATGCTATGCTAGTGACAAGCAATAAACCTCTCCAGAGGCTATGATCACTCACCCATCAATATGTGGTGACACACACCCAGTTGAGTTGTATGACTGCTCTCTAAGCCACTCATGAACTGTATAAAGAGACACCAGCAAATGTCCCAAGCCCCAAACCTTGCGCTCCAGTAATGTGCCATTTTACACTGCTCAAGACTCCCTAGGCAGTGCAAGCTCATTAATTAGTTAGCCACTTCGTCAAAGGAAAGCGACCATGCACCAATCTTTGTAATCTAAGCAGATTCCCCAAGCACTTCAACCCAAAACACACTGTTTTAGATCAAATATAAAAAAGAGATTTATTAACTATAGAAGGATAGATTTTGAATGATTATAAGGGGTAGGCATAGAGATCAAAGTTGGTTACATAAGAAATAAAAATAAAATCGCAGCCTAAATTCTACAGGCTAAGCAAGATTTGAATCAAGCACTTTCTCGCCCCTCTAGATGTTCCAGCAGTTACATTTCTTATTACACAGGCTGAATTTCTTTCTTAGCCTGGGACCAATCTCCACAGTTCAAAGTCTTTGTCTTCCTAATTTCTTGTTGCCTTCAGAGTAGGTGCGGGAGGAGAGAGGCCAAGTGGTGATGTCATCGATCCTTGTTTATACTTTCTCTCTAACAACCTCACACTTGGTAAGGCAACTCACATCTTTTCACATATTTATAACTGCTCCTGTATTTTCCACTCCATGCATCTGATGAAGTGGGTTCTAGCCCACGAAAGCTTATGCCCAAATAAATTTGTTAGTCTCTAAAGTGCAACAAGGACTCCTCGTTGTTTTTGCTGATATAGACTAACACGGCTACCACTCTGAAACTTATAACAATAGAATACCAATTGAAATTTATTAAATATTTTTGGATGTTTTTCTACATTTTCAATATTGATTTCAATTACAACACAGAATATAAAGTGCACAGTGCTCACTTTATATTATTATTTTTTTATTACAAATATATGCACTGTAAAAATGATAAACAAAAGAAATAGTATTTTTTAATTCACCTCATACCAGTACTGAAGTGCAGTCTCTTTATCGTAAAAGTATAACTTACAAATGCAGATATTTTTTGGTTACATAACTGCACTCAAAAACAGTGTACAACTTTAGAGCTTACAAGTGCACTCAGTCCTACTTCTTATTCTACCAATCGCTAAGACGAACGAGTTTGTTTACATTGACTGGAGATATTACTGCCTGCTTCTTATTTACAATGTCACCTGAAAGTGAGAACAGGCATTCACATGGCACTTTTGTAGCCAGCACTGCAAGGTATTTACATGCCAGATATGCTAAACACTCGTATGCTCTTTCATGCTTTGGCCACCATTCCAGAAGACATGCTTCCATGCTGATGATGCTCATTAAAAAAATAATGCATCAATTAAATTTGTGACTGTACTCCTTGGGGGGATAATTGTATGTCTCCTGCTCTGTTTTACCTGTATTCTGCATATATCATGTTATAGCCGTCTCAGATGGTGACCCAGCACATGTTCATTTTAAGAACACTTTCACAGCAGATTTGATAAAAGGCAAAGAAGGTACCAATGTGAGATTTCTAAATATAGCTACAGCACTCAACCCTAGGTTTAAGAATCTGAAGTGCCGTCCAAAATCTGAGCAGGACGAGGTGTGGAGCGTGCTTTTGAGAGTCTTGAAAGAGCAACACTCTGATGTGGAAACTACAGAACCCAAACCACCAAAAAAGAAAATCAACCTTCTGTTGGTGGCATCTGACCAGATGATGAAAATGAACAAGCGTCAGTCCGCACTGCTTTGGATCATTATCGAGCAGAATCCATCATCAGCATGGATGCATGTCCTCTGGAATGGTGATTGAAGCATGAAGGGACATATGACTCTTTAATGCATCTGGCACATAAATATCTTGCAATGCCAGCTACAACAGTGCCATGCAAACGCCTGTTCTCACTTTCAGGTGACATCGTAAACAAGAAACAGGCAGCATTATCTCCTGTAAATTGTAACCAACCTTGTTTGTCTGAGTGATTGGCTGACCAAGAAGTAGGACTGAGTGGACTTGTAGGTTCTAAAGTTTTACATTGTTTTATTTTTGAATGCAGTTTTTTTTGTACATAATTTTACATTTGTAAGTTCAACTTTCATGATAAAGAGATTGCACTACAGTACTTGTATGAGGTGAATTGAAAAATACGTTTTTGTTTTTTACAGTGCAAATATTTGTAATAAAAATATAAAGTGAGCACTGTACACTTTGTATTCTGTTATAATTGAAATAAATATATTTGAAAATGTAGAAAACATCCACAAATATTTAAAATAAATAGTATTCTATTGTTCTTTAACAGTGCGATTAATCACGATAAATTTTTTTAATCGCTTGACAGCCCTACTATATATATACATTCCTAGAAAGCCTTTCTGTAGGTGTAATTAACAAAGCCAGTATGGAAATGAATTAATGAATGAATATAATGTAGGTCACACAAAAAATTTAATCCTTGTTTGAGCATAGAAATAGTGTAATCCAATCTATTAATTAATAGTAAACACCTTACCCAGTGGGAAGGGCAGATAGTAAATTGAAGGACATGTTAAGTATTCTAAGTGTCTTGAGTTTGTGGACATCATCAGGGATCTCTTTGATGGGGTTGTTTCGGAGCTTCAGTACTTCTAAGTTTTTAATATTATATACCTTCGGGGGGGAAAAAAGTAATGGAAAAAAAGTTGTTTACCACAAAGATAATCTGATTCTTGTTATGGTAAGAGTTTCTACATTTCTAACATTAGTAAGTGACACTGTAATAACTAGAAACAAGGAAACTGTCCTAATATTGTATGAATCTTGCATTTAATGTACAGCAGTAGTTAATTAGTAATGTTATTTTAGTTAAAGTACCTTATAAAAATGTCATGTGGTTTCTGGGCCTGCTCCTGATCTCACTTACACTGTTGTAGTATTATAGGTTGGGCTGGTAGCACCATCTACTATTAAGGTTGCCCTACACTTCCCATTACAAAAACATGTTTCCAGTTGCTTATAACTTAACCAAACTAACTGTTTCAACTGAAATTTTCCATGCTGGGTGTCTGCCACAGGCTGAATCTTTTTGGAAAATTTCAGCCAAAACAGTTCAGCCATTTTGAAGAATGGGGCTAGGGAAAAATACATTCTTTTGACCATGTTAAACATCTGATTAAAACCTTTTTTTTTAAGTTCTAGCACCCTGATACTTTGGGATTTAAAATGTGGCAGAGGGGTGGCCTTTGTGTCTTGGATGTGTTTTTTGCTGTCCCTATGAAAATCAGCCCTAATTTGGCCAAGTTATAAGCCTTTGAAAAAAATCACAGGTCACATATGATCAGTAGAGACTTCTTTAGATTTTAGCAGCTAATTTCCCTAAAGATTCTGTCTGCACTGAGTATGCTCCAGCCCAGGTCAGAGCAGGACCTTTCCAGTGATTGCAGCTCTGGGCTGCTGCAACCCATACCATATCTGGGTCCAAGCACGTTAACTGAGAGATTGAGAACACAGGTGAGTTAATGACACCCCCACACACACACACACCGCCTGGCCCATGCAGCATGGAGGAGACAGAGACTGGGAGCCAGGAGGGAGTTCGGGGACTGGTTGTGCACAGAAACTGGGACTTGGTTGGAAGGAAACTAGGAGACAGGAGGGGACAATGGGAATGGGGATGGGGAATCAGTATCATAGAATAGAATCATAAAATATCAGGGTTGGAAGAGACCTCAGGAGGTCATCTAGTCCAATCCCCTGCTCAAAGCGGGACCAACACCAACTAAATCATCCCAGCCAAGGCTTTGTCAAACCACGCCTTAAAAACCTTTAAGGATGGAGATTCCACCACTTCCCTAGGTAACCCATTCCAGTGCTTCACCACCCTCCTAGTGAAATAGTGTTTCCTAACCTAGACCTAGGTTGGTTTCCTATCCAACCTAGACCTTCCCCACTGCAACTTGAGACCATTGCTCCTTGTTCTGTCATCTGCCACCACTGAGATCAGCCGAGCTCCATCCTCTTTGGAACCCCCCTTCAGGTAATTGAAGGCTGCTATCAAATCTGCCCTCACTCTTCTCTTCTGTAGATTAAATAACCCCAGTTCCCTCAGCCTCTCCTCGTAAGTCATGTGCCCTAGCCCCCTAATCATTTTCGTTACTCTCTGCTGGACTCTCTCCAATTTGTCCACATCTCTTCTGTATTGGGGGGACCAAAACTGGATGCAATACTCCTGGCATGGTCTCACCAGTGTCCAATAGAGGGGAATAATCACTTCCCTCGATCTGCTGGCAATCCTCCTATTAATATAGCCCAATATGCCATTGGCCTTCTTAGCAACAAGGGCACACTGCTGACTCATATCCAGCTTCTCATCCACTGTAATCCTCAAGTCCTTTTCTGGAGAACTGTTGCTTAGCCAATCAGTCCCCAGCCTGTAGCAGTGCATGGGATTCTTTCTTCCTAAGTGCAGAACTCTGCACTTGTCCTTGTTGAACCTCACCAGATTTCTTTTGGCCCAGTCCTCCAAACTGTCTGTGTCACTCTGGACCCTATCCCTATCCTCCATCGTATCTACCTCTCCCCTCAGCTTAGTGTCATCTGAAAACTTGCAGAGGGTGCAATTAATCCCATCATCCAGATCATTAATAAAGATGTTAAACAAAACCGGCTCCAGGATCGACCCCTGAGGCATGCCATTTGATACCGGCTGCCAACTAGACATCGAGCTGTTGATCACTACCCGTTGAGCCCAACAATCTAGCCTGCTTTCTTTCCACTTTATAGTCCATTCATCCAATCCATACTTTTTTTAACTTGCTGGCAAGAATACTGTGGGAGACCGCATCAAAAGCTTTGCTAAAGTCAAGATATATCACATCTACTGCTTTCCCCATATCCACAGAGCCAGTTATCTCATCATAGAAGGCAATCGGGTTGGTCAGGCATGACTTGCCCTTGGTGAATCCATGTTGACTGTTCCTGATCATCCTCCTCTCCTCCAAGTGCTTCAAAATAGATTCCTTGAGGACCTGCTCTATGATTTTGCTGGAGACTGAAGTGAGGCAGACTGGTCTGTAGTTCCCTGGGTTCTCTTTTTTCCCCTTTTAAAAATATGGGCACTATATTTGCCTTTTTCCAATTGTCCGGGACCTCCCCCGATCGCCACAAATTTTCAAAGATAATGGCCAATGGCTCTGCAGTCACATCAGCCAACTCCCTCAGAACCCTTGGATGTATTAGATCTGGATCCACGGACTTGTGCATGTCCAACTTTTCTAAATAGTCCTTAACCTGTTCTTTCACCACTGAGGGCTGCTCACCTACTCCCCATGCTGTGTTGCCCAGTGCAGCAGTCTGGGAGCTGCCCTTGCCTGTGAAGTCCGAGGCAAAAAGAGCACTGAGTACTTTAGCTTTTTCCACATCATCTGCCACGATGTTGCCTCCCTCATTCAATAAGGGTTCCACACTTTCCCTGACCTTCTTCTTGTTGCTAACATACCTGTAGAAACCCTTCTTGTTACCCTTCACATCCCTTGGTAGCTGCAACTCCCATTGTGCCTTGGCCTTCCTGATTACATCCCTGCATGCTCTAGCAATATTTTATCCTCTTCCCTAGTCATCTGTCAAAATTTCCAGTTCTTGTAAGCTTCTTTTTTGAGTTTAAGCTCAGTAGGTGGGGGATGGGAGAGACAGAGATTGCATGAGGAGCTGTGGGGAGTGCGGGACTGACTAGGTAAAGAGACTTAAGATAAGAACCCGCTATGTGTGTGTGGGGGGGTGAACAACACTGAGATTGGATGAGGAGGCTGGGAAGAGAAATTGGAACTGGACTGAAAGCCAGTGGGGATGGGGAATGTGGATGATGAGACTAGACTGGAGGCCAGTCTGGGGGAGAGAGACAGCTTAGATGAAGGTCTGGGATGGACTGGCAATCTCTGGGCAAGGAGACTAGAACAGGAAGCTCCGAGGGGTGAGGTAGGGCTTGCTGGACAAGGATTTGGTGTTTAGATGAAAAGCCTAAGAAGTAGAGACTGGGAGTGGCTAGATAAGGAGAATGGGACTAAGATGAGAAGCCGGGGTGGGGAAGAGGCAGGACTGGGACACGGACCAGTGGGAGAGATGAGGTACTACAGATCACGCTTGGGGGAAATGGACAGACCAGTCTGGAATGAAAACCAATATTCCAGAGTCCCACCATTCCTCTCCTGTGAATAAGTACTGGTGTAACCCAATGGCAAAGTGTGCTGGCCTCCTCGAATACTGCTCCACAGCAGTTGTATGTTATCATCTGTCAGTTACTCTGTTAGTTCAAATGGCAGAGGTTTTTGTGATGGATCCAAAGATTCCAACCCTGCTGATGACCCATTTGGGCCTCAGTACAATGTTTTTCAGTTTGCTTTTTCAAAAACCTAGGAAATTACACAAAAACTATGTTAAGCAAACATTATTTGGCTTGCACAGTCAAACACTCAACATTTGGAAATTCCAAAATTAAGATTGCCAGCACAACCTTAATTTGGCCCTTATGGGTATGTATTATGATAGGTCTAATTACACTATCACATACTATTTTCCCACAGGACCCCTACCTCTTTCAATGCACAGGATGAACCTGCTCTGGGGATGAATCAGGGTTGTGTAGTACAGGAGGCTGTGGTCTGCAGGCACCCTGCTTCATTTATTGCAGTTGGAAGGTGTGTGGTGAATGAGACAGGGATTGTAGGAAGAGGAATGATTGTCTCATAGAATCATAGCAGTGTAGGAATGGAAGGGACCTCGAGAGGTCATCCAATCCAAACCCCTGCACTCAGGGCAGGACTATGTAATAACTAGACCATTCCTGACAGGTGTTTGTACAACCTGTTCTTAAAACCTCCAATGATGGAGATTCCACAACCTCCCTAAGCAATTTATTCCAGTGCTTAATTACAGTTAGGAAGCTTTTCCTAATGTCCAAACTAAAGTTCCCTTTCTGCAATTTAAGTCCACTGCTTCTTGTCCTATCCTCAGAGGTAAACAAGAACAATTTTTTCCCCTCGTCCTTAGAACCATATTTTATGTACTTGAAAATTGTTATCATGCCCCCACTCAGTCTTCTCTTCTCCAGACTAAACAAACCCTATTTTTTCCAATCTTCCTTCATATCTCATGTTTTCTAGACCTTTAGTCATTTTTGTTGCCCTTCTCTGGACTTTCTCCAATTTGTCCACATCTTTCCTGAAACGTGGCACCCAGAACTGTACACAATACTCCAGCTGAGGCCTTATCAGCACAGAATAGAGTGGAAGTGGAGAATTTGATTCTACTCCTACCTCTGCCATAGAGTTCCTATGTGATACTGGGCAAATCACTTAAACCAAACTTTTACCAGGTGGTCACTAATTGTGTGTTCCTCATTTTCTGGGTGCCCAGAGTGAGACCTTGGGGCTTTATGTGCAGAAGTGCTGAGCACTCATAGCTGCAACTGAAGTCAATGGAAGCTGTGCTTTGGACCTACATAGCCTACCAAATTCATGGCTATGAAAAACGCATCACAGACCGTGAAATCTGGTCTCTCGCCGTGAAATCTGGTCTTTTGTGTGCTTTTACCCTATACTATGCCAATTTCATGGGGGGGGGAAGGGGGAGGAGACCAGCATTTCTCAAACTGGGGGTCCTGACTCAGAAGGGAGTTATGGGGGGTGTCATAAGGTTATTTTAGGGGGGGGGTCACGGTATTACCACCCTTACTTTTGTGCTGCCTTCAGTGCTGGGCAACCAGAGAGTGGCGGCTGTTGGCCAGGCTCCCATTTCTGAAGGCAGCTCCCAGCCAGCAGCAGCACAAAAGTAAGGGTGGCAATACCATACCATGCCACACTCCAGCTGCACAGCTCTGAAGGCAGCAGCACAGAAGTGAGAGTGGCGGCTGCTGACTGAGGGCCCAGCTGTGCAGGCAGCAGCGCAGAAGTAAAGGTGGCAATACCATACCATGCCATCCTTACTTCTACGCTGCTGCTGGAGGCAGCTCTGCCTTCAGAGCTGGGCTCCCAGCCAGCATCCACCACTCTCCAGCTGCCCAGCTCTGAAGGCAGCACTGCTGCCAGCAGCACAGAAGTAAGGGTAGCAGTACTGCAACCACTCCTACAATAACCTTGTGATCCTCTCCCAAACTCCTTCTTGGGTCAGTATCCCTACAATTACAACATAATGAAATTTCAGATTTAAATAGTTGAAGTCATGAAATTTATAATTTTTAAAATCCTATGACCATGAAATTGATCAGAATGGACCATGAATTTGGTAGGGCCCTAAACATACATATACTGTGCTATATAATGGTAAGTACTCTGAAAAATCAGGTTCCAGGATCACAAACTGGGCTCCCAAAATTAGTGGATAGTTTTGACTTTAATCTCTTTGTGCCTCAGCTCTCCATCTGCAAAAGAGGGATAATAAATACGCACTCATCTCACAGAAGTGTGGTGAAAATCAAATCACCAATGTTTGTGAAACACTCAGATACTATAGTTCTGAGCATTAATCAAAGCCCCTGAGAAAATTAATACTTCTGACTTCAGAGTAGGATTTGAATAATGTGCAGTAAGTAAAGCCTACAGCCACACATTGAACAATGAGGAAAAAAAATATTGACTAGCTGCTTATTAGTTGAGTACTATCTGTCCTGTGCACTGAACGAGGCATGGATCCTGTGGAAAAAGTAGTATGTGATCATGTAATTGAGGACTGGATCATAGCATATGCACAAGGGAGTTGCATTAAGATTGCACAGGCAACTTTAATTCTGGAATTTCCTAACTTTTGAGTGCTTGACTTTGCAACCGGATTAAGGTTCTTTCAGCGTATTTTTTGTGCGGAATATTAGTATTAACCATAGATTGGTGCTCCATAAATAAGGATAAGTTTAAATCAGGAGTCACTTCCCATTGAAGTCAACTGAGTGACACTAGTATAAAGCAAGATCAGAATGGGACCTTCAGACACAGATGCAGAGATATTTCTAAATCTTGTTGGAATCTTTCCAGGCTCACATTGATTCTTACTATCCCATAAATAACCAGAAATGTAAAGGAATGATGTTTTTCTAATATCTGAGCTATGCAATTTGCATCTCTTATTGCATCTCTTATTAAATCATTGTTGTTTGAAAGTTACATTTTTTTATGTTTAGTTTAATATTAAACTGTAAAAATTCAGACAGTCTTACAGTTTTACTCTTAATAACGATAAGGAAAATAACTGGTACATACCTCCCTGGGAAAGAAGTGTAAGTCATTGAACGATAGGTTAAGATACACCAAAGTGTCGACTAAAGGTGTCAGGTCTGGAAGGAGAGTCAGGAAATAACCCTAGAAGACATATTCAGTAGAAAGGATATATTAACTAAATTTAAAAATCAACATTTTTTATCAATGGGGGGGGAGGGGCAGAGCTAAGAACTGGCTCCATCAGGACGTAATTTAAAAGATTTAAAAAAAAATAGTTAGACAAATCACCAAAATGACTCCATTGATGGATACAAAGAATCATAGAACTGTAGGACTGGAAGGGACCTCAGGTCATCTAGTCCAACCTCCTTCACTCAAGGCAGGACTAGGAAATTTATTCCAGTGTTTAACTATCCTGACAGTTTGGAAGTTTTTCCTAATGTCCAACCTAAACCTCCCTTGCTGCAATTTAAGCCCATTGCTTCTTGTCCTATCCTGAGAGGTTAACAAGAACAATTTTTCTCCCTCCTCCTTTTAGTAACTTTTTATGTACTTGAAAACTGTTATGTCCCCTCTCAGTCTTCTCTTCTCCAGACTAAACAAACCCCATTTTTTCCAATCTTTCTTCATAGTTCACATTTTCTAGAACTTTACTCATTTTTGTTGCTCTCCTCTAGACTTCCTCTAATTTGTCCACATCTTTCCTGAAATGTGGCACCCAGAACTGGACACAATACTCCAGCTGAGGCCTTATCAGTGTGTCTTGCTTACAATACTCCTGCTAATATATCCCAGAATTATGTTTGCTTTTTTGCAACAGTTTTACACCATCGACTCATATTTAACTTGTGATCCACTATAAACCTCAGATCCCTTTCCGCAGTTCTCCTTCCTATGCAGTCATTTCCTGTTTTGTGGGTGTGTAACTGATTATTCCTTCATAAGTGGAGTACTTTGCATTTGTCCTCACTGAATTTCACCCTATTTACTTCAGACTATTTCTCCAGTTTGTCCAGATCATTTTGAATTTTAATTATATCCTCCAATGCACTTGCAACCAACCCCTCCCAGCTTGGTATCGTCTGCAAACTTTATAAGTGTACTCTCTCTGACACTTTCTAAATCACTGATGAAGATACTGAACCGACCCATTACCAATCCCTGTGAGTCCCCACTTGATATGCCTTTGCAGCTTGACTGTGATCCACTAATAACTACTCTCTGGGAATGGTTTTCCAACCAGTTATGCACCTACCTTATAACAGCTCAGTCTAGGTTGTATTTCCCTAGTTTGTTTATAAGGAAGTCATGCGAGACAGTATCAAATCATTATGCAAGGAGCATCAAAGGATTTGCCTAACTGAGGGCCACATTGCCTCTCACCTCCCACTTCATTGATCTCCTCTTTCCTCTTGCATCAAATTTAAGCTACTTGTTCCCACTTTCTATGCTCTGCATGGTCCAGTTACTACTTTTATCTTTTATTATGCCCTCTTTGTATGAAATGTACGGGGCTGTTTCCTGTGATCTTCCTAAGGTGCACGGGATGTGTACTCTGGAGCTGTCTAGCTAAATAGGTTCTGGAATGTACATGATGTTTGCAACTCAGAGATCCAGAGTCTTAGAAAGTGAAGCTTCCTCTTTTCATTTTTTAAAACCCCTTTCTTTCAAAGCTAGGAAACCCCATACAAAAAGCTATGGTAAAAAAATATGAATTCATGATTTTGACTCAAATCAGGAAATTAAGTCACGATTGCATGCACAACCTTTGTCTACACCCTTGGGTATAAATAGTTGGATACAGTATTTAATTATATCATATATTATAATCTTAATACATTAATATACTTTTCTCTACAACCTTAGAGAAATTTATGTGAAGTAACTATTTCCTTGTAAGCTAGAATTGTGAGTCATTTCTATGAAAGTTACTTAGTAAACCATACATTCCTAACAGATACTACAGATTGAATGTAAACAGTGAACAATAATAAATAGTTGAATAAATATTAAGCATTATTATACTGACAAACAGATCAATTGTCAATGCTTTGACTCAACAGATCCATGCATTACATGAAAACAGAAATAATTAAAAACAGCATCTACATAACAGGGCCGAATTAATGCCAGGCAGGGTTCCAGAAACTTTAGACTGTGAAGTCTCTGGCCTCCTAGAAAGAGGGTTGGGCACCTTATCCCACCTTCAGGATCTTGCCACTCCTACTTGCATGGTGCTGAAGCAATCTGATGGCACTATATGGAGGAGAAGAAGTAGCAATGTGTCCAAACTCAGTCCAATACTGCAAGAGGTGCTAGGGCCAAGAGATGTCACATAAATCATGAGGTGCATCAGAAAAATGAGGAGAGACACACAATATAAGGGAAGAAGAGTGAGGGTGAAAAAGGAGAGGAAATAGATAATAAAGAGGGAGATCAAGGTGAGGCAAGAGAATTAAAAAGGCGCATCTAGAACAACCAAGCTTAAGACTAATCTAAAATTGGTAAACAAATCTTAAATTATTTTAGCCATTTTTAATTTTTAAAAAGTGGCCATATACTGACAATTTTAATACCAGGTTCTAGGTGAATGAAGTTAAGAAAGCCAAGTTATGAATCCCAGGGAAACTGTGTTTCTAATGAAAGCAGCAGTTGATCATTAAGGATAGCGATATGGAAAGTGGGTGCAGCTGTAATTTTTAAAAGGTATACCTTAAGATTAAGTTCAATTCTTCTATGGATTGTGCAGTATAAAACTGCCATTCTGGACCTGGCCATCAGTTTTTCTTGTTCATCCTGATCTCTTAACAAATTCTGGTACCCGAATCCCTGGATACCCTTTATAGTATCATCATCAAGGGCACGATCAGGTTCTGCAATTAAAAATATATGTAGTCAAATAAAGAAATAATCATTGAGATTAGGAAATAAAGAACTAAAGCTTCATTATGTAGATCCCAAATTTATAGCCAAATCCTTCCATGCACTGTCAGGCCTTACTCAGGCAAAATTCCCTGTTATAAATCAGTATCTTAGCATTACCTGGATAAAGACTGCAGAATTTGACCCTTTAAAAGCATTCAAATTTATTCAACTTTTTTTTTTGAAGGGGGAACAGCAGAATGGGTTTCAGCTATTGATAAAAGGGCCTGAGCAGTGATGTTTGGATTTGGAGCAGAACTTTCCTAAAGTTTGGGAGCATCTTGTTCAGGTCCATCTATAGCTTCAACCCACAACAGATGATGTTAAAGAGATTGAAGATTTTGATTCTGTTTAGATAAACCATTAAAGCCTAAATTTTCAGAAAGTGGCAATTGATTGAGGGCTTTAATTCTGGGTGGCTCAATCCATGGCACAAGCTTGGGATGAATTTCAGGTTTGGTTACAAAAGCTTTCTACCACTTTTACTGTTAATAGCCCAAATGGATTCCTCACTCACTGGTTTAAGACCCTACAATCCAAAAGCCCAACAGGGTGAGAGTGAAAAGCTTTGGCTTTGAATTTCCTTCCTGTCTTGGTTTTATTGTAATTGTACATTTCTATTATTTATTATGACAACATCCATTATAATTTATTATAACATCCATTTCATTCTCCCCTTAAAATGGCATGCAGTATTGGGAGTTGATAGTAGGACTGTTCTTCATCTTTTATATTGCCATTACAAAATTCCCACTACAGTGCTGTACATAGTTTATTTCATAATTGTAATGTATATATCTTGCCCCTACCTGAATAGGACACTTTTTTGCTCTGTCCATGAGCGTACAGCTTTAAACTGTCCATATAAGATTCTTCCCCTTCATCACCTTCTTCTAAAATCTGTTCCAATGAGTTAGATTTTCTTATTTTCTCCTCCAAAGCCATTTCTGAAAAAAGTTGGGAGTGGTGGTAGAAGAGGTATGTGAGAAATGTATTAACTTAGTCAGACTAGCCCATTTCTCATTTACCCAAAGGATCATTTACACAGCTCTGGCAGCATAAATGGACCATCAAGTCAACGTTTACTTTTAAGGCCTCTTTACATTACCAGAGCAGCATAAAGGGACATAGTATAAATGACCATCAGGGAACCAAATTTCTTATCATAGCTTGCATGTGTCATAGGACAGCTATCTGAAATTCCTGATACACTATTTCTCTAGTATTCCCAGCAGTCATTTAAAAAAAAACAACAAAAAACCACCACCACACCTATATTCCCACTAAAATGCAATATAGGCTTATCTTAGAGTTAAGATTGATGCACTTTATTTCCAGCCAATGCAAACCATAAGAAGAAAGGAAATACGCATCTATGTCATTCAACAGCCTCATCTGCACGCCACTCATCAGTTCCCTTTCTCAACCTCAGCTCCCTCCCTTCCACCAACCACAATCCACTTATCTCCACCCATTTTGAACAACCAATGTGCAGCCTCAACACCACAGCCACATTAATGGTTACGTGTTCATATGATTAATATAGAGTTGGTGTGGTTTCATGTTCCATTTTACATAATTCTGTATATAGTTTTGTACTGGGGTGTGTAAATGAGATAGAGGGTAAGACTGCAAATGGTGGCTGCAAACCATGTTTTTATGTAACATTCAGGAAATGTTATGTAAATGGGTGATTTATTTGGTTGGTGATGGGCCCAAATTTGGAAGCAATTTTAATGTAAAAATCACAGAATTGAAATATGCATGTGTGTCAGCTGGTATGTTATATTTACAGTGGGAGTTCAGTGCCTATTTGTTCAGGATGAGGGTGGAGATATATATTAACATTAACAGTTCTGAACTATAGATTGTGCAATCAATTTAACGACAAAATGCCATAACTATCTGGTTACAGTGTATACTCATTTTAACGTTCCATGCAACCCTTGAAATAAGTGTCTCTCTAAGAAATATTTTATGAAAATAATGGGTGAATGTTGCCTACTCACTTTTTTCCACCCATCACCCTTCCCCAGAAAAAAATACATTAAAAATGTTTACAATGTTTCAGGTCATAAAAGGCCAAGCCTGTAAATTAGCACAGAGAAATAATAGAACTGGACTGTCTGACCAGTCCTAGAATCAGATTCTTAAATTTTCATTAGCAAACAAAAATTACATTTAGCGACAGTTAAGGCTTGCTTATTTCCCCTGTGTGAATCACTACTAACTTAGCTACAGGAATAATTGCTCACCCTTTTCTAGACCAGCCATCAGAGGAGACGACACACTTTCACAGTGGATTACCCACCTATTTAGTAGCTAATATAAAATTGGTGACTGGAAATCACCAGTTGATTCTATCCCTGGCTTTGGGAGTGAAGTGCAGTTTACAGTTTAAAGATAGGCTAACTAAAAGTAGGTTAGTTGCTCTGAAAGGTCATAGCACAGTGGCTAAACTTGGGATTGCTCATGCCATAAGCTTGGGTTCTAGGCCACCAGTGATTTCACATTAAGTCCTATCTCTTGGTACGTTATTTATTGTTGAATTAAAATTCAGTGGGTTTGCTTTGGCACACATTTTCTGTTACAGCTGAAGAGGTATAAAATATTGATAAACAATACCGATGTATAACTGATATTCTAGGAATCAGCACGTGAGGAGCAACAATCTGGACAAAAGATAGGTCCCAGAGAGTTGCAGAGTTTTTGCAAAAGGTATACAAAGAAGAGTGAAGCAATCCAGGGAGGCAGTGGAAGAAGGAATCATCAGAAAGAGAATAATAATAAAATTACCCTATCAATTCATTTTTCATCACACCATCATGAAAAATTCAAACAGTGCTCAAAGTTTATATTCTATGTTTTGATTTTTGCCTATTCAATGAGATATCTATATCTATAAATAAATAAATTAAATAAAAGGTTAAAAGTTATGCTGTAACACAATCTTAACTGTAGTGCGGGCACTGCTACACCATAATTTTATCAAACCTGTTATTTACTTAGAGGTAAAAAATTGGAAGAAATATGGTTCATTAGTGCCTGTCTCTTCTGGGAGCAAAGGAAGTTGATTGTGAGACGTACACTCATCTTCTCCTAATCAAAGATCTCTGCTTAGTGCTTTAGACTTGGAGGAAAGTCATAAGAACCCAAGATCCCTGTTCAACTCTGTGCACATAAGCAAAAACCACTATGGTTAAAAAGCCCAATCCACTCTTTACCCAGAAATACCATCAGAGTCCTACTGAAGCCAGTGGGCCCAATTCACTGTTGTCCTGCACCTTATGTAGTCATTTAGACCTAGATTCTTATGGGTATTTAGATGCTGCTGTGCTCAGGAGCCTAAATCTTATTCTCACTTAAGAGCCAAAATCCTACTTACTGGAAATGGGATTTAGGCTCTTCAGTGCCTAAACCACTTCAGAAAATAAGATTAAGGCTAATTAATTTAGGCAATGCAACACTAAGCTCAGCAACACCTAAATACCTTTACAAATCTGGACCTTACACTAGTGCAAAGTAATTGCAAAATGATAGTAAACCAGAATATTAGCATTTTACACTCATTTAAATGACTACACAAGATGCAGAGCTACAATGAACTGGGCCTAGAAGGACTCTGTGCAGGTGTTAGGACTATCTTTCATGGATCCCGTTGCAGGATTAGGGGTCAGTTTTCAAAGCCTCAAGCAATGGGGCTTTAAACATTTTCCTTATACTATTAAGTATTTTAAGATATTCTTAGTATAAATTGTTACCTGCTATTAATGTTTTTAAACATAAAGTTAGTTTAGTTATTACTAGCTACAATTTTGCCCTATCTAGTTCTTAAATAATGATGTAACATTCTCACAGACAAATGGCATCGTTTTTTCCTGTAAAGGAGGCCTATTTCGGAAATGCTTTCAGTAAAAATCATGCACAGACAAAAGTGAATTAGAACACTTGACAATATAAAATACAGTACCTATGATACTCTGTCTCTCAGGCTTTCTTCGTGAAATTACTGGGAACTCTTCATTATCAGACAATACTATTGTGTTAACTTCAGTCTGTATGCTCTTTCTCTCTTTATTGGTCAACTGAGTAGTGAGATTTTGATAGCCAGCTGTTTCTCGCTGTAACTTTCTAAAGGTTGCCATCACAGGTGATGGGTGAGAAGGGGACACTGCAGCTAAGCTCCCAAAGGTAAACTCTGGTGAAGTAAAATAAGCAGGCTCATCCTTCGGTAAACCAAGAAGCTGCCTGCGAAAGGATTTACGACGTTTGTGTAATGGGAAGCTGGCAGGACCACTAGGAGTTGGAGTTATAATAATATCTTTAAGAATTTGATCAGGAAAAAGATTTTGGACTTTGAGTTGGACTGATGTTCGACTGCTCGAATAATAGCCAGAAAGAGTAACTCTATCCTTGTCAGTTGTGCTTGCAGCAGCAGCAGTGTCTGGTAAAGACCAATAAACAGAGTCACTCTCCTTAGGGAGAGCTAGAACCTCCATGTCCAAGGATCTACCATCTTTCTGCAACGGGCAGTCAGGAGGTATACAACAATAAGGAGCAGTAAGAGTCAATTCCTTTTTTAGATTTTGATCAAGAAGGAAGTGTGTATCTTTGGGATGGACTTGTGTTTGACCACTGAAATAACTACTGGAAAAAATATTACTGTCTTCATCATTTGTGCTTCTGATCACTCCAGGTTGGTCTTTTTGAGGAATCCTGTCTGGAGAACACAAAAGCAAGAAAAGTGAAGATACATTTATACCTAGGCATACATTTCACATGTTTTTCAAGAAAATATTGTGATTGACTCAAACTGGATGCTTTAGAGAGAATTTCCCCTACACTGAGTAAACACACAAAAATAATCATTTAAAAAAAATCAACCCTACTGCATCACAAAATGTTTTGCTTTGTAAATTTATTTGACAAGTATAATTTAATTTTAAACAAAGTAAACAACACTGAATGATCTGTAGTAATTTGTAAACATGTAAGTGTTAGACATCTATATTTAGAATGCTTATGATGAGCCACACAGATTAGTGAAAAACTAATTACTGAGGTTCCAGTGCACATAAAACTTGATTACTGTGATAATGCTTAGAGTCCTGAATCAAGGATCAGGTCCCACTGTGTGAGGCACTGGAAACACATAACAAAAAGGCAGTCCTTGCTGCAAGAAGCTTGCAGGGGCTCTTTTTGGGGCAGTGTTCCGCCACAGATCCCCTACTCTGGGGCTGTGACTGAGAGCCACAATTTAATCCCTTATGAAATGTGTTGCTCCAAAGAACAATATATACCATCTTTAACAAGAAGCAGCAAATTAAACTTCCACTGGTTAAACTGCCAAATGGCTGATTTGTTAATTTCCCAACAAATAATTTTAAACTATTAGCCAGTCATGAACTGACATATTTAGTTTCTAATAATGGTCACTTGGACTAACATCCATCCCATTACGCAGGACCCACATAAGGCTCTCTATACCATCTAGGCCCATGATAGCCATGGTTGTGTGGAGTGGAGGCTCAGGCAGAAGCAACCATGCAGGGGGCTTCCACATCCCCTAAACACCGTGATGTGGGCTCTGTGCTGGCTTCAACTAGGATGATGCAGATGCGACCAGTGTGATAAGCCTGTGAAAGGAAACTTAAATGGTGAATATATGGGTCCAGTGCCCAAAAATCTCCACAGAGGAGCTGCAGCCTTTTTTCTAGGCTACCAGCTAGAAGAGCAGCCACATAGGACTCCTGTGTATTGTCTGGATACGTTATATCACCCACTTAGTGCCCCACTTTCCTAGGAATAGGTTCATCTTATTCTTAAGGAATGAACTTGTTTCATACTTGATGAAACACAGAACAAGCGTGTACTCCAAGGTGATCATATTACCATTACTGAAAAGCTGGATTCTGATCAACGGTCACTCCACTTTATAAACATCCATCAAATGTAATGGCTGCATTTTGTGGTGCGAAGTGATCCTTGAATGTACTTTATTGTACAGCACTTTGATTCTTGTCAGGGTACTGCATAAATCTATACATTCTAAATAGCATTCATCACTAATCATATGTTATACTAGAAAAAAAGCCATTGCAACAGAACACTGTCTCTGGATAAAAGGTTTATCATTTTAAATCATTTAAAATCAGTGGAGCAGAGCTCTGGTATTGAGCCAGAAATATTTAGATACATTTTGGATGGTGCCAGACTGGAAATGTGTTGACAGAGATGGAAAATTTCACCAACTAATCCCCTAATGGACTTAATAATATCAAGAGAACAAGAAATGCAACTTCTTACTTTTCAACTTTAATTCACTTGCTGAGATTTCCCTTCTTACTTATTTTTTACCATACCAGTATAATGTTATGAGTATTCTTTATCAATTAGTGAAATAATAAATGATAACTGGAATTGGTATAAATAATAAACACACCATAAGTGACACTATATTAATAAAACAATATCATAATATTAATGTTAAGAAATTTCAAATTAGTTATGCATATCAAATACTATGAAAAATTTGTTTCAGAATTTTTCCTTTAGTTTACTTATTATGTTCAGATTTAATAGTTTTAGCTATTTAAATTGTTTTACATATAGGTCATAGAAAAGACCTATTAGGACATCTTTTCCATGCCAACGCAGGATTGTTCTTTTACAGTGCTAGTTTATTTTAACATATTGTCCAGTCTAAAGTACTGACCCTACATCAGAATCTGCACAGCAGCCTCTTGTGGGAGCACAAGTTTGACTGAAGTCAATGGGACAGTAGAGAAGTAAGAGCCCTTCTGGTAGGATCAGAACCTAGTTTTTAAAAAGTCTCAAGCAGTGGAGTTTTCAGCTCTTTCTTTGAGCTATTATTGAGCTAATATTCCTACTATCAATTGTTATTGGCTGTTAACTCTATATTTAAAGTTAATATGTAATTATTAGTTGATTAATCGCAGTTAACCCACGCGATTAACTCAAAACACTTAACTGCAATTTAAAAAATTAATCACTATTAATCGCACTGTTAAACAATAGAATACCAATTGAAATTTATTAAATATTTTGGATGTTTTCCTACATTTGCAAATATATTGATTTCTATTACAACACAGAATACAAAGTGTACAGTGATCACTTTATATGATTATTTTTTATTACAAACATTTGCGCTGTAAAAATGATAAACAAAAGAAATAGTATTTTTCAATTCACCTCAGACAACTACTGAAGTGCAGTCTCTTTATTGTGAAAGTGTAACTTACAAATGTAGATTTTTTTTGTTACATAACTGTACTCAAACCAAAACAATGTAAAACTTCAGAGCCTACAAATCCACTCAATCCTACTTCTTGTTCAGCCAATTGCTAAGACAAACAAGTTTGTTTACATTTACGGGAGATACTGCTGCCTGCTTCTTATTTACAATGTCACCTGAAAGTGAGAACAGGCATTCGCATGGCACTTTTGTAGCTGGCGTTGCAAGGTATCTGCGAACACCTGTTCTCACTTTCAGGTGACATTGTAAACATGACGTGGGCAGCATTATCTCCTGCAAATTATAACCAAACTTCTTTGTCTGAGCGAATGGCTAAAGAAGGACTGAGTGGACTTGTAGGTTCTAAAGTTTTACATTGTTTTATTTTTTAATGCAGTTATTTTTTGTACATAATTCTACATTTGTAAGTTCAACTTTCATGATAAAGAGATTGCACTACAGTACTTGTATTAGGTGAACTGAAATATACTGGTTTCAGAGTAACAGCTGTGTTAGTCTGTATTCGCAAAAAGAAAAGGAGTACTTGTGGCACCTTAGAGACTAACCAATTTATTTGAGCATAAGCTTTCGTGAGCTCACGAAAGCTTATGCTCAAATAAATTGGTTAGTCTCTAAGGTGCCACAAGTACTCCTTTTGAAATACACTATTTCTTTTGTTTTTTACAGTGCAAATATTTCTATTAAAAATATAAAGTGAGCATTGTACACTTTGTATTCTGTGTTGTAACTGAAATCAATATACTTGAAAATGTAGAAAACATCCAAAAATATTTAAATGGTATTTTATTATTGTTTAACAGCACGATTAATCACGATTAATTTTTTAAATTGCGATTAATTTTTTTAATCACTTGACAGCCCTAGTTACTAGCCATTGTTAAATAAATGGCGAAGAGCATTTTTGCATCTTCTAGGTCACCTATAGCATACAAAATGTACAAATATTTCTGAACTGTATTGTATCATCAGTGATATCAGTTTTTAAGCAGAACTCCCCATTGCCTTCAAAGGCAACATGACTCTACATGTATATATGTAAGTGTTTACTTATGCAGCTGTACACAGGAGGGATGGGACCATCCCCAAATGCCCTTAATTTTTTCATAATCACTAATCACAATTGTACTTCCCTGTATCTTTACCTGTGTTCCTGACAGGGGCGGCTCTACCAATTTTGCTGCCCCAAGCAGTCGCCACCGAATTGCCGCCGCCGAATTGCCGCTGTGGAGGGAAGAGCAGCCGAGCTGCCGCCGAATTGCCGTCGCGGGACACGGACTCCCACCCCATTCTAAATGCCGCCCCAAGCACCTGCTTGGAAAGCTGGTGCCTGGAGCTGGGCCTGGTTCCTGACTCCATCCTCTCTCATCTCTCCCAACACCTTTATTTCTTGCTACATCTTTTTGTTTGTCATTTTGTAACTCACCCACATAGTGACAGGCCTTGGTTGGATCATAACATAAGCATTCATTATGGTGTTAGGGAAATCAGTTATGGCCTGGTGTCTGATAATGATTACTTGTGGTCTATTCCTGATCCCACTGAAGTCAATGAGAGTTTTGCCATTAACTTTGATGCATGCAAGAAAGAGCCTTATATATCCTGAATTTTAATTATAAATTTATTTTTGATAACATTGGTTTGTTCTGGGATTGGAGGGGAGACCATGTGAAACCAAGCATTTATTTTGTCACAGATTAAAGATTTTTTTTTACATGTTATCTCAGCACTAACTGTAGTTTTGGATCATCTCAGCTAATGTATGAACTTATGATATGTTGAATGTATGAAACCATCAGCAAGTGTTTGAAGTTAAATCCACAAGCACGGGAGCAGTTTCCATTCCCCCACCCTGATGCTAATGGTGACTATAGGGCCAAACAAGCTTCAGCACAAAATGGAGCAGCCTAGGAACTGCTCTAACTTGCACCTGGTTTTAATGCCCCCAAGAGCCCATTACATAAGCAAGGACAGCTGAAACACAGCATGCTCTGGTCTTGCCTGCTCCAGTTCTTTTACAGCCTCCCCATTGTCTGTGTCATGGGACACCTGAAGCAAGTGGCATAGAGCCAGCTACATTGGCTTTATGCCACCTGGCAAGTGGCAACTTCCCAACAAATTGGAATACTCAGGGGCAGCTGTCTGACTGTTCTGCACTGCCTGAGCAGTGCAAAGCAGTTGGAAGAAAAAGAAGTCCAAGCTACTGTCTCTTTAACTTTACCTTAAAATGGCTACCAATTTAAAGCCCTGATTCCAGGAAGGGCACTTGAGCCCATGCTTAATTTTAAGTGGGTACTCTAAGTCTCACTGAAGTCAGTGGGACATAAGAACATGCTTTTAAGTTAAGTACTTTCCTTAATAGAAATGGAGGTAAGCATGTGCCTAGTACCTTCCTGAATTGAGGCCTAAGGTAGTTGCATGTAATGCCAAAAATGTAAATAACCAGGTAGAGATTAAAAAAATATAGGGGGGCACAATCTGATCACACATCAAACAGTGTAAATCCAGATCCACACCACTGAAGGCAATGGACTGGCTCTGGATCAGTAGCACTGAGAGATCTAAATCTGATTTAGAGAAATAAACCAATTAAAAAATAGCTGTACTTTACAATATATATCTGTTAGAAGATAGCAAAGATAATGAGGATGAGCACATTTTATACTCCTAATTTAAAACTCATTTGAGCATTGAGGTCGGGAAGGTTGAAATTCACACAGGGAGTTGAACATATCAAGTTTGAAATCTGCTTGGGAAAGTACACATGTATATACATCAAATTCTCAATATTAAGGGCTAGAATTTGTCTTTGTGACACAGGTGTCCTTGGGCAAGGTCTACAGCAGCACAGACCCAGAGCAAGCTCAAAGAGGGATCACACCTTAGGTCCCTGGCACTTACAGGAAAAATGCCTTCTGCATCAATCAGTGGCCCATAACCAGGGCCGGCTCCAGGCACCAGCGAACCAAGCAGGAGCCTGGGACAGCAAATGTAAAGGGGCGGCAGGACGTCGGGCTCTGGGATGGCAATCCGTCCTCGGCAGCAATTCGGCGGCCGCTCCATCAGAGCACATTTTGCACTCGGCAGCAATTCGGCGGCGGGGACGCAACTCTTCGCCTCCGTGTTCGGCGGCAAGGTGTTTTGTTTTGTTTTTTGGGGGGCGGCAAAAACGCTGGAGTCAGCCCTACCCATAATGAAGGAAAGTAGCAAATGTCAAGAAAGCAAGTGTAGCTTCTTTAGATATAGCTTTTACATTGTGTACAAGTTGATTCATCAAAAACCAGCCAACCAACCCCTCAGGATACTCATTACATTCTGCATTAGAACATGGAAATTAGGGGATTTCTGATTTAGTGCATAAATATTAGCTAATACATATTTTATTTTGCTAACTGTGGTATTTATGTTCTCTGGTTTAATGGCTATTCTGGGACATTTGGCAGGGCTCTGAAGCGATCTTCTCTTGTTCTCCTTTATGCTGCTGCACAGGATGCTAATTAATCAATACTCTATTCTACAAGTTAAGTAGCTAGTAAACTTTTTGTACAGCTGCATCTTGAAGACAGTTCAGTAGGACAAGAGACTGTATGGGTCTTCTTCATACTTAATCCCACACTCTCATACAAAAACCAGTATAGCAATCTCAAATTTTATCAAGCGCTGGCTTTCCTTTGGGTTGTGAACACATGCAGTGATCATCTTCCAGTCATATTCACACTGCATTACACCTCCAACTCCAATACTTGTTGTCACAGTACAGTTTCTTTGAGGAATTCTTCTGGTTTCATTTATTATTTGCTGAATAATGATAGCAACCATATGGTGTTTAAATGAATACTTAAATTGATTAATACACATTCCTTCAATATTGTCTCCAAAGAATATGTAAATCTTGGAACTATGCATTGTGAAGACTATCTGTTATTAGTACTGCTTACCTTTATAGGTGTTCTCCCTTGGCATAGACAGTTCAGGTAGCAGCTTTGGAGGCAGAGGCCTACGAAGTAGTTTTGGTTGCTCAAACATTTTCTGCCTAATAATTATTTTTGCTGGACAACTGAGGAGGATTCAGAAGTTTGAAAATTCTAGATATAAGGCAAAGAAAAGAAAATCATCTCTGGATTTATGTATTGAACTGTAAATGTCTGCCCAGAAACAGTTGCTGTTAGAAAACACCAGTATAAATGGATGAAAATGGTACTCTGTTTACTTAGTAACTAATTTGACATTTTGCTAATTATCAGTAGTGTTTTTGGAAACTAAAAGGTGACATTATTAAAAAATAATCTATCTGTTCTGTTAATTTAGGTTTGGAATGCTCATAATACAGAATGACGTATGACACCATTGTCATAAAAGTGAGGCAGTGGTTGGTTCTTCCTCTAAGAAGCAAATGGTGAAAAAAAGGAAACCTAATTTTCACGACATGAAACTTTTTGAAAGTTCACAAAAAGCAGCATTTCTAGCCACGGATAAATAGATTTATAGTTAATAATAAAAATTCAATTTTAAATTGGTATTTCTTAATGCTGTGGGTAACAGTTAATTCTTCTGATTTAGTGAAGCAGCTGGGCATAAGCATATTATACTTATGCTTAGAACTCCTCTACTTGCGCTACATTGATGACATCTTCATCATATGGACCCACGGGAAGGAGGCCCTTGAAGAATTCCACTTGGATTTCAACAATTTCCACCCCACCATCAACCTCAGGCTGGACCAGTCCACACAAGAGATCCACTTCCCAGACACTACAGTGCTAATAAGTGATGGTCACATAAACACCATCCTATACCGGAAACCTACTGACCACTATACTTACCTACATGCCTCCAGCTTCCATCCAGGACACATCACATGATCCATTGTCTACAGCCAAGCCCTAAGATACAACCAAATTTGCTCTAATCCTTCAGACAGAGACAAACACTTACAAGATCTTTATCAAGCATTCTTAAAACTAAAATACCCACCTGGGGAAGCGAGGAAACAGACTGAAAGAGTGAGACGGGTACCCAGAAATCACCTACTACAGGACAGGCCCAACAAGGAAAATAACAGAACACCACTGGCCATCACGTACAGCTCCCAGTTAAAACCTCTCCAGCACATTATCAACGATCTACAACCTACCCTGGAAAATGATCCCTCACTCTCTCAGACCTTGGGAGGCAGGCCAGTCCTCGCTTACAGACAGCCCCCCAACCTGAAGCAAATACTCACCAGCAACTACACACCACACCACAGAAACACTAACCCAGGAACTTAAAAATTTAACTTTTATCTGTGCTTTAAGTGCACCGTGAATTGCTATTATAAAATATGTATGTGGTGGTGTACAGTACATGAAAACAGAGATAGCCTCTGTCCTAAGAAATGTGTCTATCTTGTAGATTTTCAGATATGCAACACATTGGTGAGGATGATTTCATTTTTTTGTTTGTAATTTATAAACTCACTCTTTAGGGCCTAGTGGCAAAAGGGTATTATAAAAGGGACTTTAATGAAGAGAAAGTAGCAGCTTGGTACAGCAGCATGGGGATAGCATTCCATGCATAGGGGTATTCCTGGAAAAAGCCCACACAGATGGGACTGGGAGAAAGAAAGAAAGAAAGAAAGAAAGAAAGAAAGAAAGAAACAAACAAGTAATTGAAACTGGCATCATTCACAGATTATAAGGCCAGAAGGGACCACTGTCATCATCTAGGTCTAGTCTGACCTCTTGTACAAGACAGGCCATTGGACTTCCCTGAATTAATTCCTGCTTGAACTAGAGCACATCTTTTAGAAACACATCCAATCTTGATCTAAAAATTGTTAGTGATGGGGAATCTACAACAACCTTTGCTAAATTTTTCCAATGGTTAATTACAGTTACTGTTCAAAATTTTTTCTTTATTTCCAGACTAAATTGTCTAGCTTCAGCTTTCAGCCAGTAAATCTTCTTATACCTTTGTCTGCTATATCAAAGAGCCCACTATCAAATTTTTGGTCTCCATGAATTACTTATAAACTATGACTAAGTCACCCCTTAACCGTCTCTTTGTTAAGATAAATAAACTGAGCTCTTTGAGTCTATCACGATAAGGCAGGTTTTACATCCTTTAATACTTTTTTGGTCCTTCTCTGAACCCTCTCCAATTTATCAACATCCTTCTTGAATTGTTGGCACCGGAACTGGACACAGTATTCCAGTCACACCAGTCACACCAGTCCCAAATACAGAAGTAATATAACCTCCTTACTCCTACTAAAGATTCCCATTTTACTCCTGAGGGAATTCTGCGTCAAAAAATAAAAAAAGTGCCGCCCCCCCCAAAAAAATCAGCAGAATTTTGCAGTTTTTTAAAATATTGTGTGCACCATTTATTTGTCAATAAATGTGGCGGTTCTAGCATGGCAGTGGGGAGCACACGCCACTGGCTGCATGGAGGTGTGAGATCACCCTGCAGTCCCCCCACCCCCGGGACATGGACTCAGTGGTGGTGAGGCTGCACCCAACCCTGACACAGCACACGGGCCAGGCTTGCCCCAGAAACACCCGAGGCCCTGACTCCACACCAGGTGTGGGCAGGCAGGCTCAGCCCAGCAGGATCCAAGTGTGGAGTGGCTTAGTGTGGGGGGGTCCAGGTGTGGGTGACAGAGTTCTGTGTGAGGCAATCTGGGTGTGGGGGTTCACTGGAGGGGGGGGCTGTGTGTGGCAGGGATCTGGATGCACAGCATCTTGTGCGGGAGGTTCAAGGCACAGGGGCTGGGGAGGGCTGGGTTCAGGAAGTAAGGTTTAGTACTGGGAGATTTGGATGCGGATGGCTCGGTGGGGGGGGGGATTATGGTTGCGAAGGGGAGAGTAGGCTCAGCAGAGGGTCCAGGGGGGTCTGGATGCACAGGCATTGGGCAGATTGGGGGTGGGTCTGACTTGGCACCAGCCAGGGTGTCCCCAGACCTGCTTTTCCCCCATGCTTTACCTCTCTGCCAGCTGCTCCAGGTGCCCGAAAAGACACGCCTAAGCTGCTGGGGAGGGGCATATGACCACTCTTGTGGCTTCTCTTCACTTCCTCATCAGAAAGTCATTATTCAGTGAGAAAGCAAAGAAATCTGCGGGGGCCATGAATTCTGCGCACAAACAATGGTGCAGAATTCTCCTAGGAGTACCACTTATACAACCAACGATTGCGTTAGCCTTTTTGGCCACACAATCACACTAGGTGTTCATGATCAGCTGATTATCCACTACTATTCCAAACCTTTCTCAGTGTCACTGCTTCCAAGGATACAGTCCCCATCCTGTAAGTATGGGCTACAATTTTGTTCCTAGATGTACAATTTTACATTGGCCTTATTAAAACACATATTGTGTGCTTCCAAACAGCTTTCCAAACAATCCACATCACTCTGAATCCCTGACCTGACCTCTTCATTATTTACCACTCCCACAATCTTTGTGTCATCTGCAAACTTAATCAGTGATGATTTTACTTTTCTTCCACGTCATTGAGGAAAATGCTAAATACTGTGGGGCCAAAAATGGATTCCTGTAGGACCTCATTAGAAACACACCTGCTTGATGAAAATTTGCTGTTTAAAATTATATTGAGACCTATCAGTTAGGCATTTTTAATCCATTTAATGTGTGCAATATTAATTTTGTATTGTTCTCATTTTTTAAATCAAAATGTTGAGTGGTACTAAGTAAAATGGCTTATAGAAGTCTAAGTATATTACAACCAAGCTTGTAATCTCACGAAAAAAAGATATCAAGTTAATTTGACAGGATCTATTTTTCATAAATCCATGTTGATTGGCATTAATTATATTACCCTCCTTTAATTCATTATTAATCAAGTCCCATACCAGCTGTTCTGTTATTTTGCTCAGGACTGAGGTCAGGCTGACAGGCCTATAATTACCCAGGTTATCCCATTTACCCTTTTTAAACATTGGAACAATATAGCTTTCTTCCAGACTTCTGGAACTTCCCCAATATTCCAAGAGTAATTGAAAATCAAAATTAATGGTCCAGTGAGCTTTTTGGCCAGCTCTTTTAAAACTCTTGGATGCAAGTTATCTGGACATGCTGATTTAAAAATGTCTAACTTCAATAGCTGCTGTTTAACATCCTCTTGGGTTATTATTGGATTAGAAAGTGTTTTATTATCATCATGATAAAGCAGCTATTTTTTCCACCAAATAGAGAACAAATATTTATTGAACACTTCTGCCTTTTCTTCATTATTTTATTGACAATTCTACCATTTCTATCTAGTGACGCAGGGATCAGCAACCTTTGGCATGCAGCCCACCAGGGAAAGGCGCTGGCGGGCTGGGATACTTTGTTTACCTGCAGCTTCCGCAGGTTTGGCCAATCACAGATCCCACTGGCCGCGGTTCACTATTCCAGGCCAATGGGGGCTGCGGGAAGAGGTGCGGGCTGAGGGATGTGCTGGCTGCCACTTCCCGCAGCCCCCATTGGCCTATAACAGCAAATCGTGACCAGTGGGAACTGCGATCGGCTGAACCTGCTGACACTGCAGGTAAACAGACAGTCCTGGCCCACCAGCCACTTTTCCCTCTAAGCTGTGCGCGTGTGCACGCTCACACAGATCCTGAACCCCATGCACATGGTGAAACACCACGTGCACAAAAAATGAAATACTACATCAGGGCCAGGCTGAAATATCATTTACGGGTGACTTTTGACACTGTTCGCCTGCCATCTATCAACACAGCCAGATTCTACTAGCTGGCAAGGGGGGAGGGCGGGAAGGAAAGGAGGGCAATGAATCATACCCCTCCACACCAGCATTCCGAACGTGAAATGTTGATCACATTGGGACGGTCAGGACCCACACATCTCCTTGTAGTCTGTTCATTTGGCTGTGTACAAACTCAAGTACGTGCGAATAGGTCAAAATGCCTGGCTGTAGTTGCTAAGGAACTGCAAAGATTTCGCAGAAATGTACAAAGGTAAATGTTCTTTTCGTGACTGAAATCTTTCAAAGGCATTGGACTTCATACATTTACTCGTGATGTTTTACCATTTTCCCGCTTTTTTTGCAGCAGATACATGGACGTTATCGGAGCTATGCACAAACTTCCAGTATCCTGATCTGAATGATCTCCCGTTTGCCCTTTTGTCGAGTCATGCTGTTAAGCACATTGAAGATAGTAGCCACATAATAAAAGTATTAATTTTAAATAAACCAATCCGGTAAAAAAATCAATTCCAAAATGTCACTGTCTAGAGGTCTAAAGCGTAAAAGAACAGCGACTTCATTTAAATCTGGATGGCTGGATAAGACTATAGAGACGGTTACACCAAAGTCACATAGTGTAATGCTTGTTAAACTTTGTGAAATATTCACATATGAGGACAATGGAGTGGTTTGTGTATATTGTCAAGATGCCAGAGCTTCGGGAGAATTTTCAACAGGAAGAATGTGGAACGATGTATGGAAGTTGGATTTCTTAAAGCATCATCTGTCAAGTAAGTCTCATATAGATGGCGTAACAAGACTTAGAAACAACAACTCTTCCTTACGGAGCGGATTGCTTAGCATGATTCTTGAAAGTCCAGCTCAAAAGCAGAGGAGGCAAATTAATCTTGAACAAAAGCACTCAAACCCAGAAGAAATCAAGGTACTTATTGACCGTGTGTTGTTGGCTATTAAAATTAACAGCTCAGTGCTTTTTGTTCAGGATATTAGTGACCAAATGGAAAAGTGTGTGCACATACCAGCAAGCTGGAGAAGTAAAAATTATGCTTTTGAATTTCTTGACATTATCAACTGCATTGTCCAAAATGACCTCATGCATGAAATAGCATTGGCAATGTTTCAAACTCTAGCTGTTGATGAAAGCACTGAATATCCATTAACAGATACT